GAATTTGAACCAGAAATGTCAAGCCTTTCTGGTGGAATAGAAGTATTATATCTTTAGAGGTGTTCAAGGTAAATAGTTCAATTTCACAAGCAAAGGACTAAGAAGAAAAGGTCTTCAAGGTCAAGGTTTTAGAGCTTAGTCAATGTGTAGAAAGCCATGGTTACTGATTTTGCCTTTTACAAAAAATTGGGTGGAGCATTGGAACAAAATTTTTGCCCAGGGAGGGGGGGCTAGGAATTTGACCAAACCAATCTTCAAAAGGTCAAATGCCCACAGTATTGCCAGAAGGGGGGGAGGGAGGGTGTGGAAGCTTTGACTTGATTCACACATAAGTTTGGGTATTCTCATTCCCTGCAAAGGCAGTTGAGGGTCAAGAAAAGTTCTTCATTAAGGTGATTTGCTTCCTTTTAGCCACAATCACAACACAAGAATAGACTGATATTATTCTTTTCTGATAAGAACAATGAAGACTTGATAATTCAAATAAAAAGCCTTATGAAGACGATTTATTTATTTAAACTACAGTCAAACCTGTACTAAGAGGTCATGCAAAGGGAATGATTGTGTGACCTCTTAATACAGGCTGACTGCCAAATACAGGTTCTGCAGAATGGGGTAAAATGCGATAGAAATTCTATTTTGTCATAACAGTCCTAAGAAGAAAGATAATCTGCAATACTTTAAGGACATTTGAAATCAAAGTACTCTCCTCATTTTCAGGAGATAAATAAGGAAAAAATTTGACTTGAGAGATTATTCTTAGTTTTATTTGAGTGTTTGCCCTTAAGTGACCATTCAATACAGGTAGAAGACAATACAAAGAGGCCATTGGGAATAAGTCAACTAACTGCTCAAAAGAAGAAATTTAATAGAGGTAAAAATTACAGTACTTACAAGAAAAAAAATTTCTTGTGACCCCTTATACAGTGCCGCTTAATAAAGGTTTGACTGTAGAACACACACAACACTTACCCTGTTCCAGAAAATGAAAGATGACTCTAGACAGCATGGGGTCCTCATTTAAGTTAATCAAGTGTGGCACATTTTGTACCTTCTTCTGTTTTTCACTTTGTTCTCCTGCAGAGGAATCACTTTGAGACATCTGGACCTGTTAAGACACAGAGGCAAAAGAGTTTTGAGTGGTTAAAAACTTTGGAATATGGTCTACTGAACATCTATACGAGTCTCACCCTCATCAAAAACTGTGGGTGTTTTAAAAACTTGCACAAATCAAGAGGAGGCCTCTTAGGACTTGTGACAAGTTCAAGAGATGAACAAGGAGGGAAGGACAGGAAAAAAAGGGAAGAGGAAGAGAGAGGAAGATGAGAGGATTGTCACCTCAATGTTGGAAATTAACAGCTGGGCTAAATAGACTCAAAGAATTCAAGAATTAAGGCAAGTGCAGAGAAAACATGTTTACATGTAAACCAGATTTTACCTTTTCATCCCAGCTCATCATGCTCTGTGCGTTAAATTCCATCTGTGCAAGGAGTTCATCTTTCATCTGCTTCCGCATTTCCTCTTTCTCAGCCTCACCTGAGGATCACCAAATGATGAAAGATTATCATTATTAACCCTTGACTCTTTATTCTCCATACTGTTCTCCGTACATTTCCAAAATTCCTGATAAGGAGAATTTGTTAGACAATCAAGAGCTGTTTTAGTCGGTGATCATTTCCCTTATCCTCAGGACCTCCATGAGTGATTCAGGGCTGGTGCTCACTCTTAGAAGGGTCAATTATTTCAAATTTACAGGTTTTAAACTCTTTTAAAACTTTTAAAATCCATGATAACTTCAACTGATCTTTTCCTGAACAAATTAGGTGTTCCAAGTGACCTGGGGAAGAGACTAAGGGGTTAATTGTTTCCAATCCATCAAGGACTTAACAACTTTGGATCAACCTCCTCTAAAAGTCATGCATGCATGCATGCAGTGGAATGAAAAATGTTGCAACAAGTAAAATGAAATGTTATAATCATGCAATTTCCTGTAATAGGTTGCAGCACATACTCATTCCTCCAGCTCCAGCACCAAGATCTGGCAGTCCTCCACCTTCAAACATTTTTTTTAGTTTTTCATTTTCTTCTCGCAATTCACGGATGAGCTTGTCCATTGGATTTTCATTAACCACTGCTTTGTTCTTGATTTTTTTAGCACGATCTGCATATCTGTAAGATAAAACGTATTGAAAGTTGATATTGAAAGAGAACTATTTAGACATAATTATTTGTGTTCCATTATACTGTTTGAAAAGAAAAGTGACAAAACATGTAATGGTTTGAAGGTTTGTCCAGGTCTGGATTTTGCCCATCAACCCTCTTCTGTCCACAAAACATTGGGTTTGTTCATTGATCTGCCTTTCTGATAGATCAATCATCCATCTGCAGTTTTCAAGGCTTAGTATCTGGTGTGTGCATGAGTACTGTCATACTTTTATTCTGTCTGTCTGTCTACCCCCAAGTGCTGTCCAAGTGTCTGTTGGAGCATTCTTTCCTTCATCTGATGTCTGTTGGTCTAGTACCCTTCCCTTCTATTCAACCTTTGGTTTGTTTGTTCATCTGTCTGTGTTCAACTTTTCCAACTACATCATAAAATTCAAATGAGATGAGGAGACCATACCTTAAAGTACTCAGTGTTTCATCATAGTTGATATCAGCTGGAGACAGTGCAGCAATCATGATTGTTTTACTGTTACCACCCAAAGCATTCTGAAGCAGTTTAGTAAGAACAGAGTCTCGATATGGTACCAACACTTTCTTTTTACCCATGGACAAGTCAGCCAAGGCTGAGATCACATTACCCAGAGCTGAAAGGGATTTGTTGATGTTGGCTCCTTCTTTAAGTCTGTCACCAGTAGCACCAGTGCTATCAGCTCTTTCACTACCTGGTTAATGTGTGGAAAACAAAGTAGTCAATAGTGAATCTCATTTGGTACAATTCAATTCATTCCTAAACCTCCCTCAAGGTTACACATGGGAACCAGGGATACTGCCTGCGAAACATGACCAAAGTGCCACACATGGAGTAACTAGGCATCCCATCCTGGGATACCTGCCAGGGTTCTCATTAAGTGTCAGCCACTAGCTAAAAAACTGGGTCCCTCATGTAACTTTCTTCTAGGCCATTTTCACATTGCACGTCAAAAACAAATGTTTTTACATTTTCTCACCGTGTGACCACTCCAATCATTATCGGTCATCTGTTTACTGAGCCCAATGACTGCTATAATATTACTTTGCATATCCCTCCAAAAGAATGCGTAAAATAGCATATACATTTAAAAATAACATCATGTGGGAGAGTATGCTCCAATACCCCAGGGAAGGAGTTCTTGAATAGCCAGCTGTCTACTCCATGCAGTCAGTCATCTATTCCCTAACTTATTGAGAACCCCAACTAGCCATCTAATCCCTCAATACTAAAATGGACCACTATGCTTGTAAGATCCAAACAACAATTGACACCAACCGACACCAACCTGCCAAATCAACCAAGTTTATATTACTACTCTTCTTTGTTTCCTGTCCTGACTCGTTCTTGCTTATCTGATCAAATATGATGGTTACCACTGTGTGAGCACGGGAACTTGTGGCATTCATTTGCGTAGCTGCTACTGTTCGATTAGCAGTACCTACAAGTCAAAGGAGACAATTTATCAATCCCTTAGTTACTAAATAAATAGATACACTTAACTGAGTCTCCTTTACAAATTCCTCATCAAGAAATAGGCAGAGGTTGGAAAATTCATGGCAGGGGGAATAGAGCCACCAGCCATTTTTTCCTGTGTATTGAAATTTTCTGAATAAAGAAATCCCCATCCTATCCAAATATTTTAGGGCTTAGACATTCTTTTCATTTATAAAAAAAAAAACATTAAATGTAATGTCAACAATCTTGTTAATTTGATTCCACTACACACAAGAAATCTGTTTTACCAAACAAGACAGTATAATCTGGTATTATTTAATGCAATGCTTCAATTTACATTCTAATGCCAAGAGGTGATTAATGTGTAATTTTCCCTTACCTATGTGTTATCCAACAAGCAGGCAAATAGAATAGACATACTTATGACTTTAAGAGCCCTAGTTGATCTTACTGAATGACAACAGATTTGTTTGAAATAACCAACTTAGAAGAAAAAAAGAAGCAGCTACCAGTTAAAGGGTTTGACTATTTTTCTGATATCTTAAACATTATTTTGCATTTCAAAATTTACCTTCTTCAATTCTTCGTTCAATATCGGCATAATCAACGACAGCCACTCTCTTGAGATTTTGAACAAAGAAGTTCCCTTCCTTAGGGTTTTGACGCACCTGTGAGAAACAAAATCAGTGAGTAAAAAGCTAGGATTAAGGTCAGCATAAATGTTTATGTGCCCTGTGATTTAATTGGCACAGGAAAGATCACTAAAATTTTGTTGGAGAACTTATAATTGTTGTTTTAGACTAAAGTATGTTTACATCATATTGTGTCATTTTCATTAAAGTTAGTGCTTTGAACAACAACATTAACATCTTCCACTATGAGCGAAAATAAGTCACAAAAACTTCAAAAATCGTCAAGGCCCAGTTGTCAGAAGGCCAATTAGCACTAACCCAGGGTTAAATCTTGATCACAGTTCCTTTATTCCTTTATTCAAAAGCCTCCTTGCATAATTTTCTCTATTCTTTCTAGACAATTCAATCATCAAGGCAAAGAGGATTATACTGAATTTTCTTTAAAGCATTCAGATCTGAAACAGGATTTCACACTAACCCTGGGTTATCTAAACCCACATTGAAATAACCACGTCCATATCTTCAACATTGATGACAATTGTTAATTCAAGAGTACTTTAGTGATGTTAGGTTCCAACTTACCTGCAAACCACCTTTGGGGTTGCTCTTGACTAGAAGATCTCGCACTTGTTCATTATAAATTTCTAACATACTAAATGAAACTTGGTATTTCTGTGTAAAGAACACACAAAAACAAAATGAGACATTTAAAACCACTTTGTTACATTAATGCTTAGTAGCTGATTCATAATTCAAAATTCATGGCAATTAAGAAGGTGAACTCTGGGCCACGGATTACAAGTTACTGCTTTGCTTCTCTGACAGAAGTTTTGGCATCAGTTTCAGATCTTAATCAAGTAACCTTGAACTTGAACTTACAACTCCCTCAGCTCCTTTTTCCATCGCTTGAAACAGCTCATCGCATGTAATGGGAACAATGCCCCTGTAAAGTGACCAAACAAATTTTACTCTCAGTTGCTCATATTATCAAGATGGGTTGCCTCTAGTTCTGTACTCAATATGTCCTTCTTTTAAAACCATAATTTTGGGTTGCTTGAACAATGCTTCTGAAAATTTTTGAAAGAGAAGCTTTTCATCTTCCTTTAACAAACAGGAATTCTGAAAAGCTGCACAGTTGGTGTGCCAGTTGATGTTACTATCACATCTTGATATAATCTATAATATATTACAAAAGAGATGTATGGTAATATAGAATGTATTTTCTAATTGTATGGATGTTGATCAGGTCATGATTATAACCCAAGTGATGGGGGTACTAAAGGACTGGCCACAACTTTTACTTTAAACCCAAATTTTATACCAAAACATTTACCTTGGACACAAGAACTTTCAGTTTGAATCTTTGAGTATGGCATTGCTGAGAAATTTTTTTTTCAAACCAGAAGCCAATGTGACTGACAAAAGACTCGTGTATTATGAAATCAAAATTGGTTGATGCATTATGCTCAATACTTACTTGTTGTTTCCATATCCCACCATGGAATATGACTTTCCAGCACCGGTCTGTCCATAGGCAAATAATGAGCAGTTGAAACCTGTCAGTGAACACAAGGCAAGTTCAATAAATCAAAATTTAAATTTTGATTATCCTTATTCAGGGAAATATAACTTTCTAACATTGGATTTAACAAAAATCATGCAGCAGCCCACTTTACTGAGATGATCACAATATAATAAGTCAATTAAGATTCTGGATAACCAGGTTGTCTGATGATTTAATTTAATTAACTTTTAATGGCATAAAACGTAAAATTATATAGCTGATGAATAATAACAAGTTTGAAGTTTTGAAACACAATGATCTAAAAGATAAAGCATCAGTTGCTAAATCCTCACCATTTGATAATAATTTCACCTAATTTGAATTAAATAACTCGTTCAGGAGGCGAAGATGTTATGTTCAGACTAATTTATTCATAATGAACAAGAAAGCTTCCTTGACTAAATGAGCTAGCATATTGGTGAAAGCATTGAACTATCGGCAAATCCTCTCTGCCGCCTTCCACTCCACTTAAAATGTGTACACTAATGAAGGGCAATATTGAAACTGGATCACCTGAACGTGATGTTTTACGTGGACATGGAAGCTTGTGAATAAAAGTCAATCATGCAAATATAATTGATTTTAGACGGCATGCAGTACGCTGCTATTAAAAAGTTTTATTAAAAGTCAAAATTTATGATTTATTCCTAGTTGACAGTGCGGTCAAAACATGAAAATTTCGTTGAAGAAGTAAACATGATAAAAGAAGAGAGACCTGGATGTCGATTTATTTAAATAAGCTTACCTGCAAAAGCGTTATTCAAGACACCCTGACCTAAGTCATCGAAAACTTTGCGTTGTGTGGCGTACTTATCAGAATCGGCGACAAGATAGCCGTTTTCGTCTTCGTGAAAACCATCGTGAGACCTGAAATGAGTGAAAATAGCTCTTATGTTTTTCAAATAATCAGCTGAGCCTTCAAATCGAATATGGGAGTTTGTTGAGATTGCGCATACATCCAAAACCTTCAGTAAATGAACTAATATAAGTAAGCCTATGTATCAAAACCTAACAAAGTACTCCAAATAGTAAACGCCATGACAACATGCAAAAAGTACACTCACCAATACGAGAAGTCAAACGTAAACTGTGCGAAGATTTCACATGAAAAGAAAAAGGAAAAAAGTATCGTCACGACAAGAACGCAAGGCAATTAGCCTTACTTAACAGCGCTTTGGTCACAGCACCGGTCGTTGGCTGATGACAGCGCGAATAATAACATTAAAGCGAAATTTAGTTTCTTACCTCTTTTGGCGGGTTTCCTATGTGAATAAGTAAAAAATAGCAAGAAATAAATCAGTTGGTTCAAGAACGTAAACCCCCTGTGGAAAATCCATCGCGAAAAGTTTGCACTACGGTAGTAAAAGTAAACATTCCAAAAGCACGAAGATGGAACTTCTACCTGGATTCTCTGGATCTGTGATTTGTGTCAGTGCTCCTATCATATCGAGAACACATTTTGCCGCTCGGTCCCTCTCCCTGCAGAAAATAACGGAAAGTCAGCTTTCTGAAACAGAGAAACGAAACTGAGGCAGGGCGATTACTTACCTCGAGTTGAAAGGCCGAACGCGGACGGCCACCTTCACCCTGAAAAGATCATAAAACCGCGATTAGTTCCCCGCTTCGATCTCTAAGGACTTCAAATCTTTGCAAAATTTACTTACGACTCTGCCATAGCGGGTTTAGCGTAGATTTATGCGATCTCTCTCCTTTCAATGTCCAATTAAAATGGTTTTATGTTCTGTTACAGAGTCCTACTGCAATTCACGACTGCCGACTACTCCTCCAGGCAAAAAGCGAAGACTGACTTATCGTCGAAAGGAAAAGGGGGGGTCAAGAAGGCAGATTTAGTTAGCGCGTGGGTAGGGAGAGTAAGTGACAATACATGCCTGGTGCATTATGCCTTTTATTTCTATTGTTAGTACCCCATACTTTTTTAGATAACAATGGTTAATACGAGACAGAACATGCAATTTGGGCCAATATTATTTATGAACAATGCATACTTCCCTTAAAACATATGCGCGAGAATACGCGAAAACAAATAAAGGTTTGTGAATGCCAGATATCTTCAAGACTGGCACTGAATATTAAACCCGTCTACAATGAGACTAAACTTCATTTTATTCATAATATGTACATAATGTCACCCCAAGTTTACCCCAAATACATTTTTCTAATGAACTATCGTGTTTCGAGGTTGGCTGAACATTTCCGTTTGCATTTCACTGGGGCCACAGAATAAACATTGTTGTAACGCAGTCAAATACTTCGTTGAGTTTCATCCAAAAATTTGACGTCGAGGCTATCAAAGTAAATCTCAGTGTTTGCTAATTTAGCCGACGATTGCAGCAGCTGTTTAAATCAACCAAAACGCTTCAGCGTTCGGAAAACTTAAAAACTCATCTGCTTTCTTAAATTCTCGTGGTTTTTAATGTATTGTGCTTGTGTCTTAGTTTTTTTTTTTACCGTGTTTGAATATTAAACAAGACAATATTTTTGCCACTTAAAAATCGCCACAGAATCATTCCACACGTCGCACACGAAATATTGCTATGTTTATTTATGAAGTGGGAGTTAAGTAGAATCATAAAAGGAGAAGGTGATATGACATCCAAAATAAATTGCACTATGCGTGTTATTTCAACGTCGACGCTCAACTTGATATTGGGAGATAAATACACAAAACAAACGGGCTGTGGGCAGTGACCCTTGAAACTTGGTGTCTCGAAGCACCAACCGTGTGGGAAAACTACATTCTTTCTTGTGCATTCGTTGGGGTTACCATTAACCCTTAAAATCCCCCCCCCCCGACTCAACCTGTGACTGTCTAGTGCCGTATCCATGACAATAGCTGAGTATTGATCCATAACAGTCTTGACGAACAATAAAGAGGATCTTTGGTTGTTGAATACCTCTGTTGTCAAAGAACTCGGCGACATAATTCCTTTGCTATTGATATGCAGTCACCTCGCACAGAGAGGGCGATAGTGACAAAAGTGCGATACCGAACTTATATTAGAAGGTTTCGAGCTGAAAAAGTCTTATGAAAATCAAAAGCAAATTTAACAAGACGCCGTGATTTGTACGCTGCCTGAGATTGCTGGTCTTTGCGTGGGACTTCATACTACGCGCAATCTACGTCAGTTTGCTCAAATGGACCTACTCAAAGTCATTTCAGTAGAAATGTGTCAAAAGAAGCTTGATTAACTTTTGTTAACGTGAATATTAACATACGTATTTTTTTCTTTTAGAGGCTTAGGGACCTTATACATAATTGATTAATAAAGGAGTAAGTAAGTTGTCCCAAACAAATTTAAAATTAAAGAGCAAAATGACTTCTAGAGAAAAGGACATTGAGTGATTTGTTTCACATTAGCATACAACTAGTTTTTAACACTTTGTGATCAAGTAATGTATCTGGTACAGTGCTTACACAGTGTACGAAAATTTGTCACTATCTATGAAGATTTGGTTGCTGTTGAGGTGTAAGACAAATGGTAAAAGTATCATGAATAGGAAAAGCCTTCTACATGAAAACTGATAAAATAAAGGATTCACATTTTCGTCGAAAATACATTTACCAAAACACAGCTTTATTTGAACAAAATGACGGTAGAAAAAGAACTACTGAACTATATGGGCCGTTGCAGGTGATCGGATGACACCTTTCGGCTTTGTGCTTTTCATCTGCCACATAAGACTGAATGTTAGTCAAAAAATATTATAGCCTGATGAATGGTCTTGTAATTACAGACTGTAAAAGCTGTCAATGATTCCATGAAAGCTATAGAAGAAATGAAATCCAAATCCAGATCGATTCGCTCTTGTTTCTGTCAAATATGGCCCATATAGAGATTTAAATCACTTGAGTTAACTGATAAGACCATGTAATTTGGATATATCAACAAAGTTGAACTGGTAAATTGGCCACCGTAACGATTACAATCGTAATCGTAATCGTACAATTGTAATAGTTATGGGGGCCAATTTACCATTTCAACTTTGTTGATATATCCAAATTATTTCGTTACCCCCACCGACGCAGCCCCAAACAGTTTCTTCAGAAACTATCATCCCTTGATAAGACCATCGATCAGCATCAGGACAGAAACTTTAATCCGATCTTTGGCAAACTCTGGAGCTAGATTGAAAAGCTAAAAAAGTTCTGTTTCATTGTTGTGAAAAATAATTCGTGTACCTGCGATAGGAAGAGACCAAAACGAACTATGTACTTCGCGGTCAAGAGAGCTTTACGTGGAACAAGGAAGAAATGTTGTGTACACCTGTGAAAAAAACATTTTTTGCGAAGTGCCAGCACTTTAACATGTCGGAAAACAGCAACTTTTCCCACAGGAGAAGAGAAAAGAAACAACTGAGATCAAGATCACTGGGAAAACCGGCGCTGTGGGTTGTCCAATCTCTACTGATCCACCCGTGCATCCCGCCCTCTCGAGCTCTAATAAAAGTATAACAAAGATTACCTTTGTGAAATTCTTGTTGTTCAAACCTACCTACAGATTTCTATCAACGTAACATTTCTCAAGGTAGTCATCAACATTCAAAGCTCGTTCTCTTTGTGCTATGAAACGAAACAAAACGCTTTTTTATTCCAGTTGATTTCATAGTCGTAAAGAAGAGCACATCTGTACTGAATACTTTCGCAGGTATCACTAGAGAACGTGTTTTAAAGTTTGCGAGGTTTGTACACAACACGATGGTTGCAGTCATTGATATGTCGCTTTAAACGTTAAAGGAGATTCAAGCTTAAATCTTTCTAGATTTTTTGCATAATTTGCTGTGACTGAAACTTTGCCAATCCCGGGAAGTTATTTCGTCGCACGGGCCACGCAGGTATGTCGAGCAACTGGTTCTTGCGCAACTTTCCGTGCGTGCCAAAATCTGTCATCTTCGCTTGAAAAAAAAGAAAAGCTGAGCGTGGAAACTTTTGCTCATTAGATGTGGGTAGATGATCCTGTTCTACTAAGCTGACATTTGCAATAAAGTAAACCCACCCTTTCCATCCAAAATTTCTTGGTCTTTGGTTTTGTTTTTCCCACTGAAAACAGCATCGGATCGATTCCCAATGATCAAAGGTATTTAACTTGGTCTTAAACAATCGANTTATTGCAAATGTCAGCTTAGTAGAACAGGATCATCTACCCACATCTAATAAGCAAAAGTTTCCACGCTCAGCTTTTCTTTTTTTTCAAGCGAAGATGAGATTAGATTTTGGCACGCACGGAAAGTTGCGCAAGAACCAGTTGCTCGACATACCTGCGTGGCCCGTGCGACGAAATAACTTCCCGGGATTGGCAAAGTTTCAGTCACAGCAAATTATGCAAAAAATCTAGAAAGATTTAAGCTTGAATCTCCTTTAACGTTTAAAGCGACATATCAATGACTGCAACCATCGTGTTGTGTACAAACCTCGCAAACTTTAAAACACGTTCTCTAGTGATACCTGCGAAAGTATTCAGTATAATTTCCGGTAAGATTTTCGCGGACAATCTGATCGACTTCTCTTACATTGTGTGCTGAGACTGAAACTTTTCACCTCAAGCAAATCTCCGTCGCAAGGTCCAGACAAACATAGCGAGCAACTGAGCTACTAGTATATGTCCGTGTTAAAACACACGAAAGGACTCTAAAGCACACTTCACTCTGATTGGGCAGAAAAACACAAAGATTTTCTGGCACCAATCAGATGGCAGAACGAGTGCGACCGTTTGGAACTAGTCTTGTAAGACAATGTCCCCAGGGGCTCTTCATGCCCTAACTTGAAATCGACTCAGCCCCTGGGTCTCCGAGGATGACTAAGGCCAATCATAGTTCGTTTGATGTCTCCAATTTTTCAGGCTAAATTCCCGCCTGGGTATTCTCTCGGAAGTGCAAGCGAAACAGCCACAGCGATTTGCGATCATGCCCCCCAACTTACTTGTACGTTGAGGAAATGAGTGTGACGCGAAAATATATGTAGCCTCCAGAATGGCGCATTTCTATGGGATTTAGCTTTGATCGCAAATAGGCATTCGAAAAAATGTACACAAAGGACTGATAAAAAAAGGTATTTACTACAAAATGGGTTAATTCACCAGTAGAGGTTCACGGAAAGATTGAATTGTCTTTTTGCACTGCCTACCCAACGAAATGAGGTTCCCAAACCTTTTTCCTTAGACTTCCATCTCGCGAGTCAATTATAGCAGTACTAGGGTTATCCTCGGGTTTCCTTTTCCTCCTTGGATTTTCTCTCCAAAAAACATGATTGAAGTCGGCAAACGCACGATTACGCATCAACCACAGTGATTTACGATCATGCCCGCAACTAACTCTTTAAGATATCTTCTCAATCTTATCAGAAACTATATCATCTCCAAGACTGGCAGCAGACCGTAGCACACTTTGCAATTCATAAAATGCATGTATCGCAAAGTTATTAATCTTCTTGGAAAATGCTAGATTACTTTCGGTTGACTCAACACAAGTCCCCAATAATATGTGCCTTGTGCCAAAAGATGCGAACTTCGAGATTTTAATCTCCACAAGCCGGGTATGTTGTCATTAAGAAAATTTAGAAAAACGGCTAAACAACTCGTTTAACCAATGTACTTAAAACTCCTAAGTGTTCCAAGACCGGGTTGTTCAAAAATACCACCAGCGTCAAAATTAGTTGTCACATCATGTTTGAAGAGTTCTATTTATGCAAAGAATAACGTACAGTCCTGTTTCTACGACACTCTGAATCACCAACAGACTCCCCAACTGACCTCCAATCAATGTAAGCCAAAAGTT